TATGTATCATACACAAAACGAAGAAAAATCTGCAATTATTGAACGATTTAATAGAACATTAAACGGAAAAATGAGAATATGTTCTGAAGTACACAGTGGCGCAACTAGAAAAAAATTTTGGGGGGGGGGTTACATTAGTACAATATAATATATACATAAGATAAAATCCTGTATGGTTAATTATATAATTTATTACATAAATAATGTTAGTATATTATTTATAAATCATCATACATAACAAGAAATAAAATAATAAAGTCATAAGTATAGAAATAGTCATATTATGAATAAAAAACACTTATAAATTAAGATTGAGTCTCCGTTTTGAAGTTTTAGCCATTTCATCAATAATCATTGATGGATCAACATTAATATCTTGGTGTATATTGAGGACTGCCAATCCATTTAGTCTCATTTGACCAGTAGTATTTCTGAGATAATTTTTAAGTCGACTCAAGGATGAAAAAGACCTCTCTCCAGTAGCTGTTGTGACTGGCAGTGTAATTAATATTTGCAATAACTTTGAGATTAAAGGAAAAAAATCAGGATTACAATGGAAAAATAGTTCTGTTATTGTTGACGACAAATTTGGTGATTTGAATGCACAACTGTTATACCACAGTTTAAGTTCACCATAACCCATTTCTAAGCTAGTCAAATTGATGCTGTCACTTAATATATCAGTATAAAAATTGAACAGAATTTTGAAGTCCTCAAATGTTTCTTCAGATATTTGTTTGCTGGTCTTAGGTAATAAGCAGTTGAAACTTTTTAGTTTGGCCCTATGTTCAAGAAATCGTCCGTGCAGTTGTTCAAGAAAATTATCAAGAAATGGGATGAATGTTGAGATTCTATAATATTCTATTGGATTATTATTCATAACATTACTCCTATTTTTTTGTCGACTTGTTGTTCTTGGAACACTAACAGTTATATCAAAACTACTACAGACATCCTCTACTTCTTTAAATATTTTTTCAAACTCAGCATTAGCGTTATCACGGATTTGTTTTATAGTTGATTGAGTCATATCAGCATATTTTAGAGCAGATTCTAAATCTAAGTTTTCAGTTTGAAGAAATTTGCTCAAAGGAGCACTTATTGAAAATACTTTTACTAATATCAATAAGGCTACTTGAAACCTTAATTGATGGATGGAGGAACTAAGTTGGTTAGCTAAAGCAGAAGTCTCATTATCTTTCCAAGTAGATATTTCATTAAGTGCATCCACAACTGCTGGTTGAAGTTCATGAAACACAAGTACAGCGTCATGTCGCTCAACCCACCTTGTAGGGCAAAACTTTTTTAGTTTTTTCAATTTTGATTCATGTAGTTCATTCTGAATTTATATTTTGAGTACATTTTGTCTTTTAGGATAGCCAAAAAAGTTACATATAGCTTGCATTGTGCCCATACAGTTTCGAATATCAGTTACATTACAACTAAATGAAATA